TATTATAAATTACTCAGACTGGGACTTTCCTTCACTTATAATAAATCCAGAGCATTAATAAGTCTTATATTCATGTCCTATCTTCAATGTTTATTGACTTAAAGTTGACCTCTCTGGGAAAAGTTTAAACACAGGCTTTAAGCATTGAGTCATTGAGGCATAGAGTCATGCAGTATGGAAACAGACTCTTCAGACCAAATTGGCTATGCCGACCAGTTTCTTTAACTGAACTCATCCCATTTGCCTGCATTTGGCCTATATCCCTCTAAACCTTTCCTATCCATGTACCTGGTCTTTTAAATCTAGTCATAATGAGAAAGAAAATTCAAAACATTATTGCAGTTCAGATTCATAGTGTTTAATGCAACAAAAATGTAGTAAGTTAATAACTCTAGTCAACTCATGAATGTTGTCCATAGAAGTTCCTTTATGGTATTTCACATTACTGCTTCACCACTTGTTTCCACAGGACTGTCTTTGGATTTGGAGGTTAGGATTGAAGTGAAGCAAATCTGCACTAAGGAAATAATTATTTTGACAAATATTGTAGAGCATTAGCATCAAATAAACAAACTTATTCATTATAATATTAATAATACATCCCTATAGAAATGTATATGTGTCTCTTGAATGTATATAATTACTGTATAACAAATGTTTTCTGGTAGTTAGAGAATTAGAATTAGAATTAGATTTTATTGTCATGTGTACTCAAGTACAGGGATACAGGAGTATGGAGAAAAGTCTATTATGGCCCCCAATGTTATCTTAGGTACAAAGGTACCAAGCTACAAAATTTTAGGTACAAAGTAGAAAAATAAGGAAATATAGTTAAAAGTTCAACATTAAAGTCCTTCTTAGTATAAAGTAGAAAAATAAAGAAATAAAGTTAAAAGATCAAATTGCAGTCCTTAGTGCTTAGCTCGCACTCCCAACAAGGGTTCAGTCTCCTCCATGCTGGGCTCGATTTCCTCTGCGTTGGACTTGATCTCCCACACTTGATGCTGCCACAGATGCTGCAGGACCTCTATCACTACTGTCCAGGGTTCTCTCTCCTCTGTGCTGGGCTTGTTCTCCTCTGCATTGGGCTCACTCTCGCTCATGTTTTCTTTTTGTCCCCCATGTTGGCTCAATCTCTCCACAGAGAGTAAGTAGATTAAAGTAAGGAAGAAAACTGTGAAGGAAGACAAAGAGTAAAAGCAGATGGAGCAGATGAGCTCTGGGCAGAAACCCGCATGCTGTGCTGCTACTGCAATGTGCAGTGTATTAGAAAATATGTGATTGATCAGGCATTGCAACTAATATTGGTATGGAGCCTGCATTGATGTCCCTACCACTGGGCCAGAAGGCCCATGTTCAAGCCCCACCTGTTCTAGAAGTGTGCACTACCATCTCTGAACGGGCTGATTAGAAAATACTGTTTATTTGAGGCCTAACCGAATCCACAGAGATCAGCTTTAAGTCAATAAACATTGAAGATAATGCATGAACGTAAGACTCTTTAAAGCTCCGGATTTATTATTAATGGAGGAAAGTCCCAGTCAGAGTAATACTCCAAGCACCACAAACGGTTACTGCATGAGTAAATGTTTCATCATCACAGCTGTTTGGACCTCTCAAGCAGGAAATCTTCCAGTTTTGAGAATCTGCCTTCCCATCCTAATTAAACAAGAAACCTTGCCTATGAAACAAAAATTCCAAAAATTGACTGTTTCCCACCCGAATGAAAAATCCATGTTATAATGCTTAATTTTCCATGTGAAAATGGGCTGCATCTTTTCAGATAGTTTGAATGACATTGACAAATTATTAATAAATAAAACTTTTTTACTGTAGAGTGTAGCCGTAGGTCTACTTGTTTGCTTGGGGGCTTAAAGCTGCTTAATTATCTACTGTGTTTGCTAACTTAGTCTGATTACTGAGAGGATGACTTTAAATGAGTACTCCCCTGGATACCCAGGTTTTGGAGGATCAAATATGTATTGCAAGAAAAAGAGTTTCGTTTATGGCATTTTTCATGCTTCAGGACATTTCCAAAGTACTTGGAATGAAATTAAGTACTTCTTAGAGTAGTCACTATTGTAATGTAGGAAATGTGGCAGCCATTTTATACCCAGCAAACTCGTGTAAACCGCAATGAAAAATGTGACCAGATAATCATATAAACTAGTTCCTGCAGCAATCACCAAGTTTGGTCAACACGAATTGCTATGATCAGCAAAGTGCACCAAACCAACAAGATCACACTCAACAACTTCTCTTTCAATTCCTCCCACTTCCTACAGGCAAAGGGGGTAGCCATGGGTACCCGCATGGGCCCAAGCTACGCCTGCCTCTTTGCAGGTTACGTGGAACAATCCCTCTTCCGTACCTACACCGGCCCTAAACCCCACCTCTTCCTCCGTTACATTGATGACTGTATCGGCGGTGCCTCGTGCTCCCACGAGGAGCTCGAACAGTTCATACACTTCACTAACACCTTCCACCCCAACCTTAAGTTTACCTGGACCATCTCTAACACCTCTCTCCCCTTCCTGGACCTCTCTGTCTCCATATCGGGCAACCACCTAGAAACCGATATTCATTTCAAGCCCACCGACTCCCACAGCTACCTAGAATACTCCTCCTCCCACCCACCTTCCTGCAAAAATGCTATCCCCTATTCCCAATTCCTTCGCCTCCGCCGCATCTGCTCCCAGGATGAGGCATTCCACTCCCATACATCTCAGTTGTCCTCGTTTTTCAAGGACCGTAACTTCCCCCCCTCGGTGGTCGAGAACGCCCTCAACCGTGTCTCCCACATCTACCGCACCTCATCCCTCACACCCCGTCCACGCAATAAGAACCAAAAAAGAATCCCCCTCGTCCTCACGTACCACCCCACCAACCTCCGGATCCAACGCATCATCCTCCGACACTTCCGCCATCTGCAATCCGACCCCACCACCAAAGACATCTTTCCCTCCCCACCTTTATCTGCTTTCCGGAGGGACAACTCTCTCCGTGACTCCCTTGTCCGCTCCACACTCCCCTCCAGCTCCACCACACCTGGCACTTTTCCCTGCAACCGCAGGAAGTGCTACACCTGCCCCCATACCTCCTCCCTCACCCCCATCCCAGGCCCCAAGAAGACTTTCCACATCAAGCAGATGTTCACCTGCACATCTGCCAATGTGGTATACTGCATCCGCTGGACCCGGTGTGGCTTCCTCTACATCGGGGAAACCAAGCGGAGACTCGGGGACCGCTTTGCAGAACACCTACGCTCGGTTCGCAATAAACAACTGCACCTCCCAGTCGCGAACCATTTCAACTCCCCCTCCCATTCCTCAGACGACATGTCCATCCTGGGCCTCCTGCAGTGCCACAACGATGCCACCCGAAGGTTGCAGGAACAGCAACTCATATTCCGCTTGGGAACCCTGCAGCCCAATGGTGTCAATGTGGATTTCACAAGTTTCAAAATCTCCCCTCCCACTACCGCATCCCAAAACCAGTCCAGCTCGTCCCTGCCTCCCTAATCTGTTCTTCCTCCCACCTATCCCCTCCTCCCACCTCAAGCCGCACCTCCATCTCCTACCGACCAACCTCATCCCGCCCCCTTGACCTGTCCGTCCTCCCTGGACTGACCTATCCCCTTCCTAACTCCCTACCTACACTCACCTTTACTGGCTCCATCCCCGCCTCTTCGACCTGTTTGTTTCCTCTCCACCTATCCTCTCCTCTATCCCTCTTCTATTCGCCTCCCACTCTCTCCCTACTTATTTCAAAACCCCCTTCCCCTCCCCCTTTTCTGATGAAGGGTCTAGGCCCGAAACGTCAGCCTCTCTGCTCCTATGATGCTGCTTGGCCTGCTGTGTTCATCCAGCCCTGCACCTTGTTGGCTCGGATTCTCCAGCATCTGCAGTTCCTACTATCTCTGATTCAAGATCTGTAAACAGATGTGGTATGTCATATTTGCCCAAAAGCTGTGCACCTTTTCTTGATATTTGCAAATGATGTGGCATCAAGGGACATCTGGAATGCATTTGCAGGAAATCTGATCAAGCGAGACTCCAGTACAAAACCCAGGTGACCAATAAAATGGTACAACACCACAACATTGGCAGCAAAGAAAGTGCAAAGTGCAAACACATCAATGAAGTTCACTGTCAACAACATGAAAAACAAATTTCAGAAGATAAAGTAACTTTACATGTTGTTAACCTCACACAATGTATTGATGGTATAAAGTAGTCAGACACTTTTATAACCATTAATATTATATGTTCTGAAAAGGCAGAACAACACACACTATAGGCTAACATCAACACAGGGTCGAGTGCCAACATATAACCACTCCTCATCCTGAAAGATATGCATCTCAGCAAGTGACTCTGTATATAGCCTACAAGTGACAGTCTTATAGTGTGGACTACTGTGTTGAGAGGATAGCTATTAGACACGCCTGTCCTGCAGTAAAGAAAGACTCTTTCACTCCTGAGTGTTGGAAACCAGGCAAGCCCGTTAATACACTGTCTGAAAAAAAAACACAAAAGCCTATCAGTGAAGCAGTTAACTTCTGCAAGTTAGCTATCAATATCAGCATTATCTGTATCATCCAATTTAATGGCTGCAGTGTTCCACCATCTACTGTTCACAGAGCCCAGAGACTGATCTTTTAACTATCGTCTTTTTATACTATTCACATTCCTAATCTGTGTATGTGTGTCATGCTTTATTATGTCTTCTTGTATTTTGTAGGTAACTTTAACTCAAGAAAACTTGGTTAATTTGGCTCCTTTTAGAAAATAAATATGTTTGAATTGGGAAAAGGTGGCTGTGAGGGAACTAATCCTTTATAAATTAACCTTGTTGCAATGAACTGAGAGAGAGGAATCGCATTAAAATGTGGAACCAGTTCATCCTCCCACCTTGAAGTTAACCATTTAGGGCTATCCTGCCTGGAATCATAACAAATTGGATTCCTCACCTGGGGATTGATCGCAACAGAAGGCCTTGCTGATTATTGTGCTACATTGCGACGGAACAGAAGCCATCTCAGACCAATGTATAGCACACCTAGATTGTGTAAAGAAAGAAAAATTACACTAACAATGATGATTGTGTGGTGATGTCAATTGGCCAAAACCAGCAACATGACAGCCAAGATGTCAAATAAATATAAACAATTGAGAAACAATTTGTACTTCTCTAAATGTGTATACAATCACCACATCAGGAAAAGTTATCAAATCCACAAAGGAATAAATTAAAGTTTGAAATGTTAATTTTATAAACACCGTTTTACCTCTTTTTATGATTATCAACTTGACATCAAGTTCCAATGTACAACTGTGTGTATTTGTTTTGTAAAAACCATCTTTGGAAAAAGGGGAATGTTGTATTATGTCTTATCGTCAGTATGTCTGTTGATCTTTAAGAGTTACGCTCATAATAGCATCACTGTACCATAGCTTGTGACATGAGGTATAAAAGTCTTATATTCCTTCTTACCCCAGGATATCATAATCCCCTACTGGAAGCATTCTGTTCTGTGTAACTTAACAGTTTAATATCTGCTCAGACAATTAGGTGTCTGGGTAATGTTTGCATGTAATAAGTAGTTGTAATAACCGTCTACTGTATTCTGCGATGCCACAATATCCACACTCAGCTTTTTTATGTTATAGGAAATAAGACAAGGATTGCCACATCAAAGAAAAACACCCTGTTGGAATCAAACTCAGATCAGAGAACATTACTACATTCTGGCCAACGTTTCTCTGAATCATCTAAATACAGGAACATTAAAGACATTATTTGTCAAGTGCCCCGGCACAGAAACCATATCTTATTAGTTGAAAATTACAATGTTGTTTATCACTGTTTCAACTTGGCAGTTATTTTTGTCTTGGTCCGCTTTTCGGATATTCTGACCTGGGAATGTATGTGCATTGATCTTTGAGAGTGACTAGGTACATGAACAGAGTGGTCAGCATGGCACATGGGATCATGAGTTTCAGAAATAGTGGCATTGAGTACGAAGGCAAGGAAATTATGCCAACCCTTTATAAAGCTCTACCATACCTTAGGATAGATTTGAAAGTCCTTGAGGGGTTGCAGAAGATTTTTACTAAAATGATTTCATAGATATGGGCATTTAATTACAAGGTTAGAGTTGGAAAAGGCAGGGATTGTTCTCACTGGAGCAAAAAGAGATTGAGGGAAGAGTTGGTAGAATTGTAGAAGTTTATCAGAAACAAAAACAGAAGTTGCTGGAAAAGCTCAGCAGATATGCAGCATCTGTGAAGAGAAATCAGAGTTAACGTTTCGGGTCCAGTGACCCTTCCTCAGAAGTGGACTCGAGATGTTAACTCTGATTTTTCTTCTCAGATTGCTGCCAGACCTGCTGAGCTTTCCCAGCAAAATTTGTTTTTGTTTCTGATTTACAGCATCTGCAGTTGTTTTGGTTTTTATTTGTGTAGAAGTTTATGTCTGGTTCTGAAAAGGTAGCCATGGGGAAAAAAACAACTGCTCCCAATAGCTGATGGTACAAGGACTAAGGGACACAGACTGTGGACATGAGATTTTGGAGGCTATGAGGCAGAAATTTTGTACGCAGTGGGTGGTGATGGCTGAACTTTGTTGTCCATTAAATTAGGCTGATAAATACAGAAACAATAGACGATTTCAAAAGACAATTAGATTGGCACTTAAAGAAAATAAATTTGCTGGGCAATAATGACCAAGTGGAAAGTGTGTCAGCCTGGATTATTCCATTGGGTCCCAGCATGAATGCCAAAAATGACTCAATGAATCATCTGGGGAAACTCACAGCTGCTTCAAATCATTGAACCAGAAAGGAAATAAGATTGAGCAATAGAAAATCCTTTTGGAATGTATTTCTTATCTGAGATCAGCTTTAGATTGCTGGCTTAAGTTGTTGATGATTTAAAATCATTCATATTGTTTAGTCTTTCCATCACTATTACTCATGTAAAACTCAGTTTCCTGGGAAACTCCAGACCATGTTATATGCAATAATGCTTCAAAATTTGGCCTAATGAGTGTAACATCTGAGCAGGTGGGATCAGAAAGACATGGCAACAACATCGCAGCAGTAGCAGCAAGGAGATAAAGAACACTGTACAGCGAAGAACAATGAACAGCAAAGTTCTAACACTCTTTGCGCTTTTCATGGCTTCCACACAAGCAAGAAAATCAGTGGGAGGCACTTAGAATCCAAAGTCATGTGTACACATTTTACTTGTAAATTCAGATAACAGTATTTATCACTAAAAGTATCCAACATTTACATTTACTTCATCCATCATAAAAGTTTATAAAGATTACTGACAGAGAAGAAACTTATTTTCTGTAGATAAAGTTACTGGTTATCAGCAATATCGGAGAGCACTTATCCAACACCTGTCAAATTGCAGGTTGTCAGGGGTATGTTACACAGGTGAATGCACTCCAAGGCTGGAGATGGGTATATTTTTCACTGACTGATTCAAACACAAATATGCAGTATAGATCAAATTAATCAATGAATAAAATTCCATCCATCAACACTTAAAATATGAATGCAGAGCAGCAGTAGACCATTCTGCCCCTTGAGTCTACTCTGCATTCAATGATCTGTTTGTGTTTCGAATTCACATTCCCATTTGTTCCCAATACAGATTTCCATTGAAAGGAGCACAGTGGTAGAGAAGAGATTTAATTAAAATGAACTTAAAAATTAGACTTAAATCAAAGAACTGGTCTGACCCCAGCTGGTGCAATATGCTTTATATTTACTTCAGGAAACGTGATTCATACAACACTAGTCAGTTCTGCTTTCAAAGCGCAATATTGCTTTCTAACACTTAATATCATGCAGATTCTACACTCTTTGTCGAAAAGGATTGGATTGAGAATGTGGCAAAGAGTGAAGGCTGTATCAAACTTTGTTCAAAATAATTATACGTAAATATATACACTTGTATGAAATAGAAGTAAGCAAAGAACAAAGAAGAATACAACACAAAACAGGCCCTTCAGCCCACTAAGACTACACCAACACATGATGCCTTTCTAAACTAAAACCCTTTTGCTTCTATGCAGTCTATATCCCTCTATTCCCTGCCTATCCATATATCTGTCAAGATGCCTCTTAAATATTGCTATTGTATCCGCCCTCACCACCTCTTCTGGCAGTGCATTCCAGGCACTTACCACTGTCTGTGTAAATATCTGCCTCTCACATCTCCTTTAAACTTTGCCTCATTTTACCTTAAACCTATGCCCCCTAGAAATTGACATTTCTACCCTGAGAGAAAAGACTCTGGCTATCCATTCTGTCCATGCCTCTAATAGGTTGCCCATTATCCTTTGATGTCCATGTGAAAACAAGCCAAATTTATTCAATCTCTCCTCATACCTAATACATTTGAAACCTGGCAAAATCCTGGTAAATCATTTCTGTACCCTCTCCAATGCCTCCACATCCTTCTGGTGGCAGCCAGAACTGTACACAATATTCCCAATGAGGCCTAACTAAACTTTTATACAGCTGCAACATGACTTGCCAATCAGACCTTTGAGTACACTGTATAGAAGTTGAGACGTCATGTTGAGGTTGTACAGGATGTTGCTGAAGCCAGTTCTAGAATACTGTATGCAATTCTGGTCACCCTGTTATAAGAAGGATATTATTAAGCTGGAGAAGGTTCAGAAAAGATTTACCAAGATGTTGTCAGGAATGGAAGGTTTGAGTAACAAAGATAGGCTGGATAGATGAGGACATTTTTCCACTGGAATGTAGGAGGCTGAGAGGTGACCTTACAAAGGTTCATAAAATTATGAGGGGTACAGATAATGTGAATAGCATGGGTCTTTTCCCTAGGGTGAGAGAGTTCAAAACCAGGGGGCATTTTTTTAAGGTGAGAGGAGAAAGATTTAAAAAGGACATGAGGGGCAACTTTTTTACTCAGAGAGTAGTTCGTATGGGGAATGAACTGCTGGAGGAAGTGATAGATGCAGGTACAGTTACAAAATTTAAAAGACATTTGGATAAGTACATGAACAGGAAAGGTTTGGGGGGATGTGGGACAAACACAGAAGATGGGACATGTTTGGTTTGGGGACATGGTCGCAATGGAAAATTTAGACTGAAGGGTCTGATTCCATGCTGTAGGACTCTAAGACTGATGAAGGTAAGCATGCCATTATGCTTCTTGACCACTTTATCCACTTGTGTTGCCACTTTCAAGGAACTGTGGACCTGTATGGCTAGATCCCTCTGTATGTTCTTGCTACTAAGGGTTCTGCCATTTACAGTATACTTCTCTCCTGCATTAGATCTTCCAAAATGCATCACCTCACATTTTTCCAGATTAAACTCCATCTGCCATTTGTCCACCCAAGTCTCCGGCTTATCTATATCCTGCTGTATCCTCTGGCAATCCTCCTCACTATCTGCAGCTCCCCCCGTCTTTATGTAATCTGCATATTTATTAATCAGGCCACCTATATTCTCCTCCAAATCATTACATTACTGACCACAGAGGTCCCAGCACTGATCACTGCAGAACACCACTGGTCATAGATCCCCAGTCAGATAAACACCCTTCCACTGCTACTCTCTGTCTTTTATGACTAAGCCAGTTCTCATTCCATCTTACCAGCTCACTGCAGATTCAATGTGACTTCACCTTTTAGAGTCCTAGCCATAGAGATATGCAGCATGGAAACAGACCCTTCGGTCCAACTCGTCCATGCTGACCAGATATCTTAAATTAATCTAATCCCATTTGCCAGCATTTGACCCATATCCCTCTAACCTCTTCCTATTCTTATACCCATCCAGATGCCTTTTAAATATTGTAATTGTACCACCAACTCCTCTGGCAGTTATTTCATACATGCACCATCCTCTGCATGAAAACGTTGCCCTTAGGTCCCTTTTAAATCATTTCCCTCTCACCTTAAAACTATGCCCTCTAGTTTTGGACTCCCCCACACCAAGGAAAAGATCTTGGCTATTCACCCTATCCATACCCTTTTATGATTTTATAAACCTCTATAAGGTCACC